TGGCTTTTTGTGCACGCTGATGACAGATGCATACCGGACAGTCGCCGAATCACGAGGCCAATCACGAACCGCGAGGGTATAGTTTGGTGAAAAAAATTGCCCAAAGTTGGATTTCACGAAAGTCGCAGCCACCGAATGGTGGGGGGCTCACTGTACTTAAACATTCTCTGCCATTTGTAGTTAATTTGAACTGTTGTCTGACTTCTGTTGTCGCTGTAGGTAAGAGTAGAAAGTGTAAGGAAACTTGCCTATGTACAGAAGTACCTTGACTTACGAGTGCCCCGGCTTATGAGTTTTCCGAGTTACGTACTAGCTGTCGCTCGGTCGATTTTTTGCTCTGAGTTGTGAACCAAAATCGGAGTTATGAGCGAGCTTCAGATATGCCTCCACTAGTTGGCACAGCGAACGCCATAACATGTGCCCAGCATCCCAGCATTTTGTGCTTTATGTGCAGTTATTTTGCCAAATTTCTTTTTTCTAACCATGGGTCCTAAGAAAGTAAGTGCAAAGGACAATGCTGCGAAGAAGAGGATGATGTCCATTGAATTAAAGCATGAAATCATAGAAAAAATAAGAAAATCACTTTTGTTTCAGTGTTTTCCTTTTGAAGCTAGTGATCTAGTGCAGTTAGCCTCACAAACACTGTTTTCTCTTATAATAAGACCTCAGAAGGGCAAGAATGGGAAGATATGGTTAGAGCAATAATTATTTTTACCTCAGGAGTGGCTGCAACCACACGTCACATAATGACATGTTTTATTCATTTTAGAGTATACATATATCATGTTTCTATGTTTATATTGTTTATCATGTCATATTAGATCAATTGTGGTAGATAAATAAGCCGTAGAGTTGATATTAGCGTTATATTGGTATTTTCTCCTGCCTCCCGAGAGCCAGGAATTCGCTGGAATGGACGAATGGCATTTCTGTTAATTTCAACGAAGAAAATTGATTTTATATACGAGCAAATTGAGTTACCAGCTCGGTCAGGGAATGAATTAAACTCATAAGTCAAGGTACCACTGTATCTAACCTCCTCCAGGATTGAACCTGTACCTTTTAGTTGTGAGATGAGTGCATTATTACTGAGCTTCAAATAGCCTCAGATTCAGTAAAATATTACTTAAGGGTGGAATTTCCAGGAGTATGTATGATAGATAAAAAAATTTCTATAAAAATTTCCTTATGTGTAGCTTACATAGAATAACCCAAAAAAGTCAATGTGGCCTTGCAATACAATATTTAAATTGTTAAACAGAGAGAGAGAGAGAGAGAGAGAGAGTCTAGGAATAATTAGAGTGAGTATTGGTCAAGAATGAATAAAAAGATGCAGTACTGTGACTGGAACAATGCACAAAAACTCACACAAGAAAGAAACTTTGACATGTTCAATGCACTGACATTATCACATGCTAGTGTGACTAGTTATTAGGTCCAAGTAGACTGAACATCGTCCAAGTGTCATCTTTGTGTGTGGGTTATTTGGTACAGGTTGAGGTTTAAGCAATTTAGAAAACATGACATTACCTAATTTTTTTCACAAACTGGCGTTATCACGAGTAGGTGGCCCGAGGCAGTTGGCCACCGAGCAGGTGGCCACGGCAGGGCCCACTGAGAGCAGTGCCACCGAGGCAGGTGACCCACTGATTTTTGAGTGGCCCACAGCAGGGTGACCCACTGAGGCAGGGTGGCCCAAAAAGAAAAACAAAAGTTTCTCTTTTTAAATTTAGTAATAATAATAATAATAATACATAATAGTAATAATCTTGAGAGGTTGAAATTCTTCTTTGGTACATCAAAAGCTAAAATCCACACTCAGTAACCTTATTCCACATTAAATATACAAATAAATATACAAATAATTGATAATTGTTAGTTTCAATTGTGTCACCCTCTTCTGTCAGTTTTTTTTTTTTTTTTTTTTTACACAGGTCAATTTTACAATCTAAGAGCTGCTATCCTACCTCAACTTATTTCAAACCCAGCCCCATCTAAGGTATACTACCACCCCCCGAGGATGCCATCCACAACAGTTGACTAACACCCAGGTACCTACTTACTGCTAGGTGAACAGGGGTAGCAGATGTAAGGAAACATGCCCAACATTTCCACCTGGCTGGGAATCGAACCACAGACACTCGGTGTGGGAGCCGAGTGCGCTACCAACCAAGCCACGAGATACCTAACAAGACAACAGTAGATCATTGCAGAATTGCTACTCTGGCTACTCTTCCCATTGATGGTAATTCATTTTGGAAAAGAGGGTGAGGATGGTAAGCCAAGTTAGTATTAAGGGGGGGGGGAAGATGGTGTCACCCACCTGTCATCATATCCCCTCTCCATGATCAACCATGTATCCCCTTACCCAACCTCCCTCTATTGGCCAACCATATCTCCCTATTCCTCCTCATCTGCCAGACATGGATAACTCTGCTAACAAATAGAGCTACATAAATGAATCTGCAGGTCTTAACCAATCTCTACCAAGCAAACATGTGTTGGGTGTAAGTTGGCCCTGCCTAGGATGGGCCAGTGAGCTTACTATATTACACCTCTATAATGTAATGGTTGGGTGTGAGTTGAACCTGCCTATCATGAGCAAATAGGTCTACTGAAGTACTCCTATCCTTATGTTTATCAGGTGTTTGGGCTGAGAGTTTCTCTATTTATCACAAATGTTGTGAGAGTTTTGGTGAATTTTTCACATTTTAAAGTACCTTTTTTATTAGTTTTGACTAAAATACTTAAGATACATGGGTTTTTATTTTTTATTGGCAAAAAGTTGGTTATGTAAAAGTATACACAGTAAATGTTGTAAATGTAAATGTAGTAAATGTAAATGTCGTAAATGTAGTAGGAAAACTACAAAATAGCTTTCAGGTAATATATATATGTATGGGGGAAATGCTAAGATAACTATCATTAGTGGTACTTTGGTGCATAAAAAAAAAATTGACCAACAGTCTAGTTCAGGCCAGCATCCGAGAGCCCACAGAGGCAGTGACCCTGAAATCGACCACAGGTAGGCAGCAAAATAGAAAAAAGTTTGAAACTAGAAGTTATTAATCCCAGAGATAATGAGTTATGAAAAACCAATGGAAAATACTGAAAATGACTTTATTGGTTGATAGAAGGAAGAAAGAGGAAACATAAACATGTTCAAGATCATAAAAGGATGCAGAGCGTGAAGATCTCTCATCATTGACAAAGAGGGAGAACAAGAGGGAGCAGTTGTAAATTAAAAATAGTCATTGAAAGGATAACATAAAAAAAATTCTTCCCAAATACGGACGTAGACCGCTGAATCTAAGCTTAAATTATAAGTGCTACTACCACTGATAAACCTAAAAAATAATTCTATAACTACATAAACACTGAAGATGAGGTGCTATGAACATTGCTCTGCTTCTGTAACTACAGATTGGTAGGTATAATTACACCATCTGTGCTCCATCGAATGTGACAGTCATACAGGTATTTTCTGAAGACATCTGTACATAAGCAGATTACTGAATGTGATTGTGTATTCTTAGACTTAGTAAACAACTAGGAGAAAATTATTGATAATAAGTTCGAAAAATTGCTCCAAAATTGTTTAAGTGTATTTGTCCTAGCCTTGACTCAGCCAGATATGTTCTGCAGAACTGGTATATTGTTAACAAAAATATTTTATGAGGATACACGTATGGTATATGCTGTACAATATATATACTGTACGGTATATGCTGCTCACATCTGTGAGTTTTGCTTGGAACTGAGACTGGTTAATGGCACTCAGTGGAAGTCAACAGTTGTTCTTTTATAATGACTACATTATTCATGAAACAAATACAAAGCAGTGTATATATACAGTTTATCATGATATAGTTATACCATTACTGAGTGTTCCACAATGTGGGAATGTGTGCTCTTAACTACTGGTTTCTTGACCTAGTTAATATGTATGTCTATGTTAATCTTCTAAGATAAATGTAGGAAATAACTATATATATATATATAAATGAAATTTTTTTTTACTAAATCTTTACAGAATAAATGTTATTTACCATGATGCTAACTGTTTGTTAAGGGGTTAAGTCATTTTAACGAGATGTTACTAACCAGTGCAGATGTGTCAGCACCAGTAGCGCCAGTACTGTGCTCTAGTACTCAGTCGCAGGATCAACTTCAATTACGTATTTGTTATCATCTGCAGAACGTTGTAATCCCCTCAAATTGTACAGTACTCTGTTTATAACGTTTACTTAAGTGTGATAATACACGTAGAATTAATTTTAATTTGCAAAAGCTTATTTGCAAGTACAGTGCTATAATGTCTTAATAGTTATTAAAAGGCAGTGGTATAAACAAATACTGTATGTTGAAGAAAGTACTGTACTGCCTAGTGCTGCTTTTTAACTAGTCATGCCTGTCTTGAAAATATTGTACCAAACTTGTAAAATTGTATTACTTCTATTTATAGTATGTCACAGATAAGAATATTTTCTATATAATTTTTGTGCTTTTGATTAAAGATGAAGATTTTTATATTTTAGTGACTGTCATAAGAAAATGCAAAAAATTGCATTATGAAGCAAAAGCTTATTTGAAGTAGGTATTATCTTGTACGAGTAGCTATAAAAGCTCATTGTACATGGGTTTTAATAAGTAGTTGTAATGTGTATAGTGTACAGAGTTGTTGCATGTAGTGTTACTGCATGAATACTAATTATAACTTTATGTTCTTAACTTCTAATTCACTGTCAAACACTTTTTGTAAAAAGTTGCTTTTTACTTTTTATTTGCTGACAAAATAAAAATGTATAATATACTAACATATATTTTAATTAATTAAATTGATGATACAGCATTAATGTTAGAAACAAATAACCAGTGGATGATATGCATGAAATGCTAAAGTTGTACAGAATATTCCATTTTTTGTCCTCTTTTAATTAATATTATTTGCTGGTACAGAAAGAAATACTGTAACAATAACAAATACTATCTTTTTCCAGTTGTCGAGGCCAGTAGATTTATCTCGTAACCCTTATCACGAGTCAAACTTCAAATTCTACGACAATAAGTTAATGGATGCACTTGATGCGGGTGACCGCAACTGTGAGAGCTTCTTTCGTCTCCTCGCTCTCTGCCACACTGTCATGCCAGAAGAGAAAAAGGGTGAGTTGAATATTTTGAGTGCCACTCTACAGTAGGTCCCCAATTGAAAATGCCAGTAGATCCCCGACTTAAAATGCCAGTAGGTCCCTGACTTAAAATGCCAGTAGGTCCCTGACTTAAAATGTCAGTAGGTCCCCCAGCTTAAAATGTCAGTAGATCCCCCAGCTTAAAATATCAGTAGGCCCCCCGACTTAAAATGTCAGTAGATCCTCAACTTGAAATGTTTCACTTTACTGGATCAAGAGTAGAAGTCTTCAAGAGGAAATTGAACAAGTATCTCCACCAGATACTAAAGCCATGTAGTCTGAACTAGTTGAATATTCAGTTTTCTTGTATACACTGTAACTCGCCTAATGACCATATGTAATATTACAGCACTGTTATTACCTTATTAACCTTAAGTTAGTCTTAAGCTTGCCTGAAATGCTCTGCATATAAAGGGGCTTTTGGTTTGTTCACCAAATTGTTACACTCTTTTGTATAAACATGTATCATGCTAAAACAAACTTGTTATTGTTGTTATTAGGTGCCAGATCAACCAGGCTGTGGCTAATATGTGGGTCAGTAGACCACCAGCAGCAACAGCTTGATTGACCAAGCAGTAAAATAGAAAAACTCTCGGAACTCATCAAAGGCATACTGTGTTCCACACTTATGACTCTGCCACTTTGGAACTAATTAATAACTTACAAAAACTGATGTGCAGTTAAAATGATTTCAGATATTCCAGTAAATTGTTTTTGATAAATAGTTTTTCTCAATTTTTTAATACTCATATTTTTTATATGTCCTTTTTATGCATTTTCAGAAAGTTGGCATTTGGTTAACATTAGTAAAGCACTGTAGGTTTAATAATTTAAATTTTTAAAGCTAAATTATACAGTAGGACCCTCATATCCACGGGGGATACGTTCCAAAGACCTGCCATGGATACTGAAACCGTGGATGCCTGGAGTATACCTGGAGAGGGTTTCAGGGATCATTGCCCCTGCAGCCTGGTCTGTGACCAGGATAGTAGCCTTATACATACCTCTTATAAAATTTAATTGATAAATTATGCACAATAAGTGGAGAATTATCACTTTTTCACTGATGGGAAGCACTTCACGGCTTCTCTTAGGCTTTGAAAAACTGCCAGCTCTTCTACTTTTGCACTTTGGGGCCATCATTATGCAGAATTAAAAGGTATTTTTGGGCCACAGTAAACCAGGGACAGCTTAAACCATGGATACCGAATCAGTGGATACGGGGGTTCTACTATATTTATTATTTTTTCCTCTTTCTTTTAACACACCTGCTGCCTACCACCAAAATAGGGTGACTCCAATAAAGAAGAAATACTCTCATTGCAATTCACTCTGTCACTATCTTGCCAGAGGTGCACCAACATTACAGTTCAGATGCCCCCCTCACCACTCTTTCAGAGGGCAGGCACTGTACTTTCCACCTCCAAGACTCAAGTCTCTCTAACCAGTTTCTCTGAATCCCTTGCACTCTCAAAGCTCATCAAGCCCCAAAAACCATTTGCCTCTGCTCACTGCTATCTAAAACGCTTGAAAATACATGTCCAAGCGTGACATTGGTTTCTATGGAAAAAGAGGTTTCAGGTTCCAAAAAATTGACTTAAGAACAAGTTGAAGGAACATATCATCATAAGTGGAGGACCTTTTATGTATGAAATTTTCCACTTAATATGCACTAATTATCAGTTTCATATGCAGTGATGTTCTAGTAATTGCTGCAAAAATCTCATTAGTATATAATAGTTGCATGTGATCTTTGTATTGTGATCACTGTCTTAGCCACGAACACAACTTCTTCTGGCGATCACATATTGCTACCATCATAATGACATTGTTGATGATGATGGTAACCAGTCCTCTGACGCCATATAAATTTGTTAACCTCCACATTGCATTGAAGGAAGTTGATGAATTAGATATATGCAACATTTGGGTATTTTTATTGTGGAAATGTTTTGCCAGCCAGTGAAATATCCACAATAAAGATATCCAGATGTTGCATAAGTGTCTCATTGGTCAACTGGTTGGTTTTCTAAACCATATACAGCCTCTCCTCACTTAACGGTGGAGTTCTGTTCCTAAGACCGCATTGGTAAACAAATTCATTACTAAGTGAGGAGCATACTATAATGGTGATGGGTTTATGTCGGCCATCTTTGATATTGACTTAATGTCACCTTCGCACCATTTGTAACATTTCTGGTGTATTTTTAAATGTTTATGCAGCAGTGTACTGTATATTGTAATAAACAGAATAGAGGAAATCAGCTCTGATATATATTATTTAGGTATGCATACTGGTCAGAGAGCCCATCGTAAGTCCGAGTTGTCAGTAAATGAATACATCGCTAAGTGAGGAGAGGCTATATATAATTGTAGGAGGCCTCATTCAATAGTGAGTTATTAAAATCAGAGAGATTTTAAATTATTGTTGAGCTCTGTTTAATGTGTGCAAGGGCTACCTTGTTCAAGCTGTTTCTTCCATTACAGGGAAACTGGAGTATCAAGCACAGTCCCCAGATGAAGGTGCCTTAGTCTCCGCAGCAAGAAATTTTGGTTTCGTCTTCAAGTCTCGTACACCAAATAGTATTACTATTCTTGTGAGTATTCCTTTCAGTCTATCAGTGAAATAATCAGTATCTGTCTTTGTCTTTATCTCAGTCTATACAAAAATTCAGTGTACATACATTAAAGGGCCTAAAATCTGGAACTCGCTGCCTGGAAACTCTGGAACAGCAGACACAACCATCACTTTCAAAACTACCGTTAACCCTTTCAGGGTCCCCAGGCCCTCTCCCAGATTTGTTCTCATGGTTGCCCAAATATAAAAAAAAAAAGTTATTTTTTCTTATGAAAAGATAGAGAATATTTTCCCGATCATAATGATGCCAAAAGTATGAAATTTGATGGAAAACTTACGGAATTATGCTCTCGTGAAGTTAGTGGTCTCGACCATGTTTACGCATCGGCGATTTTGCCCACTTTGAGCCCTATTTTCGGCCAATTCCAGCGTACTAGCCGACAAAAATCATAACTATTTTTGCTAGAACTCCATTTTGTCTATCGAATGAGTACAAGAAACCACCCATTTACCGATTTCAACTATCCAATTCAGTGGTCAGAATTTAGCAATTTTGCCAATTTCACACAAATTTCAAAAGATGCCAATTTCCAAATAGGGTTCAGAATAAACAGGAAAGACATTCCTGGAACTAAAATAACATTTCCTCTGTTCATTAGTCACGTCCCCACTCCCCTCTTACGTTCTTTTGTTTTCCACTTAGAATTTTTATTCTCACAAAAAATAGAAGATTTACTGTTATGCAGACTACTGCATTAGTGTAGAAATGGTATGAATAATATCGGTGCACTTGTGAAAGAATATTAGACTCACCAGTTGACGTGTATTGGATGCTTAGCATGATTTGTTTACTTTTGAACTTTGGTAAAAATCAAACATTTCTGCTACCTTGAGCTCAATTTCAAGGTACTTTTCATTGTAAAACCAGTCAAAATCATCTAAATTTCTGTAATGTCTTCCATTCTATAAAATGAGACCAGGAAAACTAGAATACAACAATAAATACCATACAAAAATACAGTGCAAAGTCGCTGTTTTAATCCAAAAACACGGTCAGTTTTTTTTTTCTCATTACACACTGTGTGCTGCAGGATTTTTTTTATACTGCACACACTGACCACATAGACCCATTCTTTCGTATGTAAGCACGTCAAAAACCCTGGTGCGTAAGCCGTACTAGTACGTCTGAAACCCTGAAAGGGTTAAAAAACAACTTATCTCCCTGACACACCCCACCATCAGCTAGCTACATGAAAACCACCTATTCTCTTACTTGTATCATGCATACACAAAAAACAAGCTAGACCTACTCTCGATATCTCCGATTCCCCCAATTTACACTTACACTCATCCAAATAACTGTAAACATAAAATTTTGAATAAAGCTATTGCCTAACAAATCTTAAACTAGTCATAAGTTTGCCTGAGATACTCCAATATAGGAACTTTAATAGAAACTGTGCATCATGCCAAGACAAAATAATTCTCATTGCTAAATTTACAAACTGTAATGCAGTTACTTAGCTTTAATATCAATATGCTCCATAACCTGTATCAATATAGAGTTAGAATTATTATTAGTCTGCCCAAAATGCCTGGTCATGCTTGGCATGATAGTGGCCTTCTTTGTAATTAGTATTTTATAATATGTAAACCACACATTGTAACCAATATTTTATAATATGTAAACCCCACACTGTACTCTTCACAGAGAAATAAACATTTGTATTTGTATTTCCAACTTAGTTGGCTGGAGCAACTTTGCCAAGAAAAGAGTAAAGTCCCAGTATGGTATTTCTTAAAAAAAGTATAATAAAAATATATACAGTAATAATACAGCCTCTCCTCACTTAACGATGGAGCTCCATTCCTAAGGCCACGTTGTTAAACGAATTCGTCACTGAGGAGCACACTATAATGGTAGTGAGTTTGTGTCAATCATCTTTGATATTGTAATAAAGTTGGTAGAATTACCGACAATATGTAAAGTAAAAGGACACAAGTGCAACTAATGTGACATTTTATTGTGGCAACGTTTCGCTCTCCAGGAGCTTTATCAAGCCATTACAAACAATACATGGACACAGAGGGTATATAAAGGCTCACATGTATGGTTTACCCAAGACCCATAAACACAATATTCCTCTCAGACCAATCACGTCAGGAATAGGCAGTGCTCCACACAAACTAGCCGGAGTTCTTACCAAACATCTTTCCTGCCTTCTGGGGACCATCAGCCCCGCTCACCTTAAACACTCAGGCGACCTTCTCAACCGCATCCGAAACCTCTCCATCCGTAACAAGAAACTAAGCAGTTTGGATGTGACTTCCCTCTTCACAAAAGTACCTACCAAAAAAGCCATCGAGGTTCTACGACGTAAAGTCAATCAGGACCTTAATCTTCCTCTACCTCCCGGAGATTTTGTTGACTTGATTGAACTCTGTGTTAATTTCAACTGTTTTTCTTTCAATAACAAGCTCTACAAACAAACCTACGGCATGGGAATGGGGTCCCCCATCAGTGCCGTCCTAGTCAACTTATACATGGAACACCTAGAGTCCGAACACTTCGCCAACATCATCCCTTCAAGCGTCACTTGGTTACGTTACGTGGATGACGTCCTCGTAATAACTCCCAAACGTTTTGATGTACGGAATCTACAGGCAAGGCTCAACGCAGTTGAACCGGCGATCCAGTTTACACTAGAAGAAGAGTCCAATGACAAGCTACCTTTCCTCGATGTCCTCATTCACAAAGTAGACAACAACCTAAGATTTCAAGTTTATCGGAAACCCACCAATAAAAATTATCTCACATACTTCTATTCCAGTCAAGATACCAAGACCAAAAGAGGCATCATCATCAGGTTTTTCCTAAGAGCATACCGAATTTGTAGTCCTGAGTTTCTTGACAAGGAATGTACATACATTCACCAAACATTCACTGAGTTACATTTTCCTTCCTTTTTCATCAAAGACTGCAAGAAAAGAGCTCTTCAGATCATTTATTCTCCACGCACCAACACCACTCCCAACAAAGTTATAATTCTTCCCAACAGCCAGGTTGCACTGAACGTTTCAAAAGTACTTTCACAAGCTAACACCAGAGTCGCCATCGCTTCTAGCACTTCAATAAAGGATCTAACCAGGACAAAATCCAAGCACCATGAACCAGTCAACGCAAGAGTTTACACTATACTCTGTGGACGCTGTGACAAGATTTACGTAGGTGAAACAGCAAGAAACCTCGACATTCGCCTCAATGAACACATTTACGCATGTAGGAACGATAACTTGAACAACGCCTGTGTACAACACCGAAATTCCACCAATCATCTCATGAAATTCAGAGACGCCCAATTAGTGATTAAAGAAACTAATTTCCGCAGACGCAAGTGCCTCGAATCAGCACTGATCGCTGTTTCGAATACAATTAAACAGAACGACGGCAGCTTCACCATCTCTGAAGTCTTAGCAAGAATCCTCCTGAAAACAGTAAACCCTGCCATCACAGAGTCTCTCCTGTTATACTACACAAAGCACATTAGAGAGAGTGAACACTGAAACAGGCTGCCTCTTTCCAGTCTATATTTGTCCAACCTATTTTTATGTTACCCAAGTAATAGCTTTTATATCCTTTTACTCATGTACGAATTAATTGCTCTACCATATTGTATTACTACTACTACTTTTGTCACTACTACTACTACTACCACTAGTGAACATCTAAATGGTACCTCACTAGTATTGCACCTCACTCTGAGCCTTTATATACCCTTTGTGTCCATGTATTGTTTATAATGGCTTGATAAAGCTCCTGGAGAGCGAAACGTTGCCACAATAAAATGTCACATTAGTTGCACTTGTGTCCTTTCACTTTACATCTTTGATATTGTTTTAATGTCATCTTTGCACCATTTATAACATTTCTGGTATATTTTTAAATGTTTATACAGTAGTGTACTGTATATTGAAATAAACAGAATAAAGGAAATCAGCTCTAATATAGTATGAATACTGGTCAGAGAGCCCGTCGTAAGTCCAAGGCATCAGTAAACGAGTACGTCACTAAGTGAGAAGAGGCTGTATACATTTTCATTTACCATATTGGCAATTTCCTACCAATTTAGGTTGACCTGAAGAATGAAACATTCCCCATCATTTATTCAATAGCTGTCTTGCTAGAAGTGCATAGGCATCACTCTCCAATGGCACTTCAACTCCCCACATCCCCACCCATCCTATGGAGTGTAAGGGCTGTACTAAATCCCATTTCCAAAATTCTAGTTCAGACATAAATTATTACATATGAGAATAAGTATTCCCAGTAATGATGATAAGTACAGTGAAACTCCGGATTTCGTACTTAATCTGTTCCAGAAGGTCAGTCTAAATCTGAAACATACGAAAACCAAAGTAATATTTCCCATAAGAAATAATGCAACTACAATTAATCTGTCTTAGACACCCAAAGATATTAACAAAAACATTTTTTAAAGAATAATTATAGTTTTACATAAAGAAAACAATGAGAAATAAATACAAAGAACTAATTTTAATGATAAATGAACATTACATACCTTTATTGAAGACTCTTGTTGGTGTATTGAAGAAGGCGAGGAGGGCAGGAGGAGTTGAGGTTATTGTTTGGAAGGAAAATCCCCCTCCATAAGGCCTTCAGGTATCAAAGCCCTCTCTGGGGTTACTTTCCTTCTTTGTCTTTTACTGGCACTGGACCCTTGCCACACAAAAAAATCTGTCCAGAGAGCTCTGTTTCTGGCGTCTCTTCAAGATTTGCCTAAAATGGGACAAGGTATTGTCACTGAACATGTTCCAGATACGGCTTGTATCAGCTTGGTCAGGGTGATATTTTTAAACAAAAGTTTGCAACTCATTCTACTTTGCACACATGTCCTTAATCACTGAAGAAGGCACCTTCTTTCCTCTCTCTTCCTCCTCCTCTGAAGCAGTTCCTCAGCTGTGGTCTGTTGCTGTTCCAGATGAAGGTCTTGCAGCTCT